GATGCATGCCATTTTACTCTCTCGTGCAGATAAAAGTTGTCAAAGTTACAGTGCACAAAAACCCCTGGGAGGACTGACCTGAATGAACTGAAATAAAAGCAGAATATAAATGTTCTTTCTCCGTTTTCTGAATTACACAGCACAGTGAGAGCACACGTGGCACGAGCACATTTCTCCGAACTACACTACCCATAACGCATTTCACTCTGATCTAACTGTTACAGCCGTAGATATTGATCTTCAGCGTCTCCTGTAACACTGTCATTGATATTACTGCGATAAGTGTGTGCTTCTGACGCTGCTTGTAGCTGAAATCAACCACACACTCATCACAATGAAAACATCGACCTTAGAAATAACGAACGTGAACACTGGGATAATCGCCGATGTATATGGCGAACCCCCGTTGAAATGCATACACAAGAATGCTTATTTCATTTAACCTGTTTCATGTCCGTTACTATCGGCGTGTACTCAGAGCGATTACAAGGTCTAAACTGTGTTTTGCACCAGCTGTAAACACAGATGCTAAATGCTGCTGCTGCTAATATGCTTGATATTCGCTCCTGCATACAATACAAACTGCTAACATGACACTTAGTTTAAACTTGATTATGGTTGCTAATTTTTGAAATCAATTAGGCAGACCACGCAATACACACAGCGATATGGATTAGAAGAGCATTCACTTATCTTAAATGTTGATTTCGCTGTTCTGAAGCAAGCTGCAACTGCTACGGCAAGCACTAGTCATATATTTGAATGTTGAGCAGCGAGATCATTGGCTACCGATACAAGAGAGAACCAATCAGCTGTGCCATGTGATAATGATGTCATTAGGTCAGATTGAGTTAGACCTATCGGACTGCGCCATCTAGAGTTTCATGCCAGAACTCTGTATATAAATAAATGCGTGTGTTCATTTGAATAGTTTATTTTTGTAATGTTTTATTACACACTGAAATTATAGTTTTTTATTATTATAAAATTATTTATAATAATTATTATACTTTTTTATTTATTTATAATCATTTTAATCATTTGTAAAATGCATATAATTGTATTATTTAAAAAATCTTTTTTGTCATTGTTTTGAAATTGATACTTTGGCACTATTATGATATCTAAAACAGTTCCAGGATCTGGTTTAGTGCATTATACAGTAACGACAGTGTCGAGTAAATGCTGGCGTTTCTCACCGCTCGTCGTCGTCTTCTCCTGGTGTCGTTTCCCGGCCTCTCTGAAGGCGACGAGCGCTCTGAAATAGGCGCGGATCACAGCCCAGCGGAAGGTGGCCACAGGATCGATTCCCATCAGGCCGCAGATGAAAGCCTTTCCGCTGCTCTTCAGCAGAGCCACGATATCCGGACGCATGTGATCCGTGTTCTTCTCCCTGAAGTCCTGCAGGACACAGCGAACGTGTCATATACATATACAGTCTGCAGTCAGAGGTCAGACACACACACACTCACACACACACACTCACATTCACACACACACACACACACACACACACACTCACACACACACACTCACACACACACTCTGGTGGTCTGAGATGTGGTCTGAGAGTCTCTGAAGCGTGGTTTCTCACCCTGACGCTGTATTTGACTTTGCCGGCGTAGTGTCGGATGATGAACGCCGGCTCCATGACGGCAGGAAACTCGATGTAGCCGTTTCCCTCGTGCTGCCGCTTAAACTTATCCAGCAGAGTTTGATTAGACGCCTGCGGAAAACTACAAACCAACCACAACAACATTCACATTTATACAAACACTCCAGTCGTTAATATGTGATCACTATTTCATGATAGAATTGTTACTAAACAGAAATAGATTTATAACAATAATGTATCTATTAACAGTCTGTTGCTCATATTATATTTATATTTGTATAAAATTAACTTCTTTACTAAAATCAAAAACTAATTTTTTATTTGATATATTATTTATAATATATCAATATTTGATATTTATTTAAAATAATTTATTCAGGCTTTTATCCTTTCATTCAGGGTTATTATAGTTAACTGAAACTAAAACTAAAGCCATAAAAAAAAAACATTTTCATTACTTAAAACAAAATGAAAATTAACTGAAATAATATTATTATGCTGGTTGGCAATGCAACTTTTCCTTTATTTTAACCTGAAGTACTAAAATAACTAAAACTGAAATAAAAATAATAAATAAAAAATAATAATAAAAACACACACACACATATATATATATATATATATATGAATAACAAATGCATATAGGATTTACAAATAAATATGAAATATTAGTTTTCAAAGTTTGATTAGTAAATATACACATTTTAAATACACAAATATAAAAATAATCGCAATATTTGATTAGTAATTAAGTTTATACAAGAACAGAGCATAAAATTAAAAAAAATTAATAAAATGATTAACAAAAAAAGTATAATAAATAAAAACACAACAAAAATTACTAAAAAAAAATTTATAAAAACTATACAGACATTTAAAAAAATTATTTAAAAAACAGCAAAAATACTATAAAAATAAAACTGATTTTAATATTTGTGATGACTATCCAGTTTTCTGATGCTACAACAGTATAACAAACAACAACGATAATGATAATAAAGAATTAAATAAACGTTAGTGTGACTAAATTCAATGGAATCGGCTTCTACTGTAGCTTAATATTTACTACACATTTCTGTGAAATCCAAACAAGAATACTTTAATGAAGGAAAAGTGAGGGAAACACAGTGTGCTGCATGATAACTGTGAGAGCTGGTTCTGTCAGACAGGCTTCAGATGTCAGAGACTCACTTGCACTCCTCGTCCAGCAGGTAGAGCAGCGCGGTGGGTTTCTTACTGATGAGGTCGATGCAGGCCGTGTTGTCGATGTAGTCGATCATGTGCCAGCTGATGCCCTCCGACCGATACTCCTCCTGACACACACACACACACACACACACATGTCACTGATGATCACAGTAAACGACGGCACTCGTGATCAGATTCTGTTATAATAAGATGTGTTACCTGCTCAAGTTTGAAGACGTGCTGGTTGAAGTAATGCTGCAGCGTCTCGTTGGCGAAGTTGATGCAGAACTGCTCGAAGCTGTTGTTCTCGTAGTCCTCGAAGCCGAAGATGTCCAGCACGCCGATGGACAGGATCTGAAACACACACACACACACACACATCTCACATCACGACAATGTGCAACTGAACACTGATGCAGGAGCGTGACACGCGTGATTTCACCACACCATGACTCTCAGTCAGAGCTAAGAGACATTGATGAACAATCAGTCACTACAAAAAAAATGTGTATACTAGGATTATTACTTGCTATTGTGTGAATAAATATATACACACCTTTCACAGAGCATAACATTACATCTGAAGTACTGTGAGCAGCTGTGATGATGCAGCTGACGTGTGAGTGTGTGTGCGAGTGTGTGTGTGTGCGTGTGTGTGTGAGTGTGCATGGGTGTGTGTGTGTGTGAGTGTGTGTGCGAGTATGTGTGTGAGTGTGCACGGGTGTGTGTGTGTGTGAGTGTGCATGTGCATGTGTGTGTGCGTGTGTTTTTTTGTGTGAGTTTGTGTGTATTTGAGTCTTTATGTGTGTGTGTTTGTTCCTTGTCTGAATCCTCCAGGTCTTTGTTGTAGAGCAGTGCGTGGTTTGTGCGGAAGACGATCCAGTCGAACAGAGCGCCATACAGAGATTTGGCCATCGAGTCCCTCACCGTCCCCGCCTGTGCAGACACACACCTGTCAATCACCGCCATCACACGTGTGTGTGTGTGTGTGTGTGTGTTTACAGTCTCAGATCTTCATCACACAAACACACACATACTCACTCATAGCCAGTCAATGTAACTAAATCAGGAAATACATGAACAGCTCAAACTAGATTTTTACATTTTGTGAGGAAAACGAGAGTGATGTTTGCCTGAAATCACCAGTATCTACAGAGTCAAGTGTCAACAACCGAAGAACAGACCCAACGTTCAATGAGAAATAAAGATAAAACAAGGACAAAGCAGAGGACGTGTTTGCTGCTTCAATAACTGAAAGCACTGTATGAAACTCAGATATTACAGTGAGATTGTGTTTCTGCAGGGGAAAGTGTGTGTCTCAGGCTTGTTTAGGGGAAACTGTGGTCTCACACACTGAAACGTCCCTGAATTTCCAAGTCGTCATTTCCCGTGTCACACAAACCTGTAGCATGCCATCACAGGAGTCATTAAAAACCTGTGTGTGTGTGTGTGTGTGTATGAATACTGAAAGAAAAATTGAAAAACTGAAATTTTCACTCAGAAATTGCTAGCAAATTTCACAATTAATTACAAAGAAATGGCAAGTAACACTGAATTATATGCTAAATTCAAAAATTAAAGTAGAAAGTCATATTTATTGTAAAACGTACTCAACTAATCTTTGTTTTATTTATAACCTCAAAAATAAATAAATAAATAATTACAGTGTAGATCATATAAACAATTAAAAACCTACATAAACATATATAATGAATAAATATACATATAAAGTATAGGTAATATGTACATATAGTATTAGTGCTGTCAATCGATTAAAAATAATCAACTAATTAATCGCACTTTTTTTTAAAATTATTAATCACGATTAATCCCACCTAACTTTAACATTTTTAAATATACTTTTATGTTGCAATAATTTCACATTCAATCTTCAAAGACATTGATGAACAATCAGTCACTACAAAAAAAATGTGTATACTAGGATTATTACTTGCTATTGTGTGAATAAATATATACACACCTTTCACAGAGCATAACATTACATCTGAAGTACTGTGAGCAGCTGTGATGATGCAGCTGACGTGTGAGTGTGTGTGCGAGTGTGTGTGTGTGCGTGTGTGTGTGAGTGTGCATGGGTGTGTGTGTGTGTGAGTGTGTGTGCGAGTATGTGTGTGAGTGTGCACGGGTGTGTGTGTGTGTGTGAGTGTGCATGTGCATGTGTGTGTGCGTGTGTGTGAGTGTGTGTGCGAGTGTGTGTGTGAGTGTGCGAGTGTGTGTGTGTGCGTGCGTGTGTGTGTGTGAGTGTGCGTATGCATGTGTGTGTTTGTGTTTTTGTGAGTGTGTGAGTTTGTGTATTGTGAGTTTTTAGGAGTTTGTGTTTTGTGAGTTTTTAGGAGTTTGTGTTTTGTGAGTTTTTGTCAGTTTGTGTGAGTTTTTGTGTTTGTGTTTGTGTGAGTTTTTGTGAGTTTGTGTGAGTTTTTGTGTTTGTGTGAGTTTTTGTGTTTTTGTGTGAGTTTGTGTGTGTTTGAGTCTTTATGTGTGTGTGTTTGTACCTTGTCTGAATCCTCCAGGTCTTTGTTGTAGAGAATAATTTCACATTCAATCTTCAAATTAATGTAGAAACAACAAAGACAGTATATTTTTAATATTTGTTTAATGACATCTTTTTTTTATGACAGAAGGCGAGTATCACTGATACCAGTACTGCTGATGTCTCTATGAAAATTATTTTCTTTTTCATAATATTTAACCACTGACTAGCCATTCAACATTACAGTATAACTGAGAGCTGTCAATTTTAACATTCATTAGACTTTAAAAAATAACAACTTCTAATTTAAGTGAATTTAAAACAATCTTCACATAAACCCATTATAATATATGTCATATTCAGCTACATCTGCCCTTCAGCAAGCAGGAAATATACAGAAATTGATAAAGTTATCAAACACTAAATTCTAAAATAAATACAGATGAATCCTTAAAGCTACAGAAATTATTGATTTGTTCTTTTTGTCTTTTGTTCTTTGATGAACAGCATCACAGCAGCTGGTTATGATGCTTTAAGAGCTGCTGCTGCTGAACGTTATGAAGTTTCTCATAACTCTTTACCTTTTCTGACTCTCTTCAGCTCTTAAAGTCTCTGTAATGAGCTGACGAGTTGAATCGGGTGTGTTAGACGAGGGAGACAGTGCTGCTGCTCCAGGACGGTTTGGAAAACCATTTCAGGATACAGTTCTTAAATCTGACTCATATAATAACAAATACTTATGCATGCACAGTTTTAAGGCAGCTTTTTTGGTAACTTCATGACTTAACTGACGACATAACTGCAACATTGCATGCTCATAGTTTCTTTCGCACTTTGAAATGAAAAGATACAGGCTACAGTGTGCGCCACATCTGTGAGTGCAATTGAAGAATCTTATTTTTTCAAGTGTTATTTATTCCAAAATATTCCTCAACAATCTTCTGTGTGTTTTAGGTTTTAGTGTGGTTTGAGTCTCAGCTGATTTAAAGCTCAAGCGGCACACAGATCTCCTTCAGCACGTGCAAAGCCCATAAAGCTGCAGCCACCGCCAAGAACCCCACTTACTGAACCTGTACGAGCCAAAACATATAAAACACTCTCCACTTAACACCCATGAAACGTGCAGCAGCATGAGAAAGCGTACGTGCGTCGCCGGGCCTGATGGGAAGAATGAAGCTGATTGGCTGCTGAGAGACTCAAGGACATTCAGGCCAAAAGCTGATGGATTTAAACGCAGACTATATTCATAATAAAACACAAGCTCATGTTCAGTTCTGCAGAAGAAGCTCCTGCATTATTGATTCAACTTTTATTTTTAGCCAAACTCTGGAGGAGGGACGAAACATTATATAAAACTCCCCCTGCGTGATTCATTATTCACATCACTTTAACATTTAAAGAGAGTTGAGAGTTGTTTTGATCACATAGAGGAAAATTTAAGTATCACTCATCGTTAAGATCACAGAAAAACCTGCATCTGTGTGTGTGTCTCTGAAAAAATAAATAAAATAAAAATGAATAAAATAAAATACAAGTAAAATCAATAAATACAAATAAAATGTATTAAATAAATTAAAATAAATAAATAAACAATTATAAAGTGATACAACTAATAAAGTTAAAATAAAAAATAAAAAATTAATAAAACCTATACAGAAATATATTTAAAAATATAATATATATATAAATAAAACTAAATGATGTGTGTGTGTTTCTGAACCACTGGGGTTTCTGGATAAACTACTGAGTTTGTGTATCTTTATAAACACACACACACACACTCTCTCACACACATAAACACACACACACACACAAGTCACGACAAACACACACTCTCTCACACACATAAACACACACACACACACAAGTCACGACAAACACACACTCTCTCACACACATAAACACACACACACACACAAGTCACGACAAACACACACTCTCTCACACACATAAACACACACACACACACAAGTCACGACAAACACACACACTCTCTCTCTCACATACATAAAGACACACACAC